TGAGCTCTAGAAAGCATGGATTCCAAAGATGGGTTCCACGTTGCCTCTGGTCCTAATCCTCGCGGATAATTCGTCGCCCCTTTGACGTAAAGGCGCATTTCGATTTCCACGTGAGCCCTGTTTCGCATAGGATGGACGTGGAAATCGAAATGCGCCCTTACGTCAAAGGGGCGACGAATTATCCGCGAGGATTAGGACCAGAGGCAACGTGGATAAGTCAAAGCCACGCAAAGTGGCTGGAAAAAAGTACGAAAACTTTTCTTTCCCCGATTTGGAAAGCAAATCATAAAGATCTCCTTGGGCGGGCCACCTTCTTCCGTCGTCATCCTTTCAACATTAGCCGCTGGTCATGACGTCAAATCTGCCGTGATAGCAAAGAGAGCAGTAAGTGTCAAATTTCCGAGATCGAGTTTCCTGCAAATTTCGTCTGAACTCTTTTCGATGAAATCACTAAAATTGCTGAATCAGCTAAATTCATCCTATTTTCATGAAAACGAGCACTGGAAAAAAAACACATTGGATCTAGAGTCCAGACTCTTGAAAACATTGGCAAGAAAAAGGACTCTTGATTCAATCAGATTTAAGCTTAAAGCAAAAGGAAATCTGCTCAAATTAAGAGGCTTGCTTCTTGATTTATGCTCAAATCCGCTTGAATGAAGAAACCTTTTTCTTGTCAATGTTTTCAAGCGTCTGGACTCTAGATCCGATGTGTTTTTTTTTTTTTTTCTTTCTTTCTTTTTTTTCCAGTGAGACATATATGAGAAAGCCGTAAGCGCGCAAAAAATGACGTAGTTTCAGGCAAGACAGCAAGTGACAATTTGCCTCCAGAGAGCCAATGAAAACAGTGCTTTCAGGTAAAAAGCCGCCCTCGTCTGCGAATTTCTAACCTGAAAATATGCGTTTGTTGTGTGTCCAAAACGCAACCACGAAAGCATGCAGGAGATAGCACTTACGGCTGTCTTGCCGAACAGTAATATAGCATGAAAATGAAAAATACTCATTTTATTTAATTGAAATAAAAGAAGTCGATTTTTAATCATCCAAACGATTTCTAAGAATCTCTCGGACGATTAGTGGCAATTTGACAAAGAACAGAGGCTTCTTTGCAATAAAATTTTCCGGTCAGAAGCTTCTGAGCCCGTTTTCTCAAAACTTCATTTTCGCACTTCTCTCTTCGCTTTCGCTCACGGCAGTGCTGGTCATGACGTCAAATATGATGTCATTTTTCACTTCCATGAGTTCCATGATCTCACGAATTCTATAGTTTCGTGTCGAGTTGACAACATTTTCCCTCGTGTTCGACGTGCGGTTTCGCGAAACCAACCGTGAGTGTCGTATGGCATCATCCTTTAATGCCGTCATCACTGACCCCTAAGTGAGTGGCTAACGGTCGAATTTCCTGGTAAATACCGACATTGTTGACATTAGATTTCTACACATGAGCCTCAACTTTATCATCACAATTTATCATCAACAATCAATCATTAGCTAATCGTAATGAGCGTAATCATTGAGATCATGCCTCCAGAATCACAATTAACAATCGCGTCACATACTCATTGATTCTCTCTATACTTACGTATTGAATGATAGGAGTCACTCCCTAACTTTCAAAACCTTTTGATGAAGCCTTACGAATAAACAGGTTTCAGTTTTCTACTTTTTTTAAAAGAAATTGCAGAATTCCTGTCCTGTCTAAATCTTGGGTATATCAACATAATGTTTCACGGCCTAGAAAGCGATAGGCAAAGAAGACATAAGGAGTATGGAGCGACCCTTTTGGTTGAAAAGGGTGGCTTTTATAGGCTACGGGAGAAAATGATAGACTAGGTAACAACAGAGTCTCTCATGAGTTGCTGTTAGTTATTTACCTCCTTTGTCCATTGCAGCCACCCGCTTCTACCAATAGGATCCCTCCGTATCAATTTTGTCTTCTTTGTCTATCGCTTTGCATGGCCGGATTCACCTACTTGCCGCCCAAATGGGCCGCCTGTATTTTGCCACCCCCTTCTCATTCGTTTTGAAACTCGATAAAAACCATCAAATGAACGTGTCAGCGGGGGAGGGGTGCATAAGACGCATTTACTCGTATTGAACACAATTTTTGGGAAAGCCCTATCAACACTACTAGCCAAAGTTCTCGGAACTTAGCGCAAAAGTTTCGTTCCGTAAACCAATCTCTGTGTGGACAAGGCCTTCCATTCATAAGAAATGAACGAAGAAATTATGAAAGAACAAACATAAATGTGGATCAATGATTTTGACTTCCACCGCCGCGCCGCGCAGACCGCACCGTCTTTGGCGCAATGCATGAAGTATTCTTACAGTCTTGTAGGCGCTTTGCGTTTCACGCCGACCGCTGCTGAACGCACTGTGTTTGACGCAATGCGTGAAGTATTCATGCATTCTTGTAGGCGCTATCCGTTTCACGCTGACCGCGCGCAATGACCGCACTGTGTTTGATGCAATGCGTGAAGTATTCGTGCAGTCTTGTAGGCGCTAATATGTGTTACATGCCGATCGCCGCGCCGCGCCGAGGGCTTCTCCTTTTCCTCTCAAGTCCTCGTTATCATTTCTCTCTAAGTCGCGCCGTTCCAGGCCAAATTGCGTGTCTGGTTTCTCTCTTAACTCGACTAATTAAAGGTGCTGTCTCTTGTATCACTAGAAAGACGACAAAATTAGAAATTACTATACTCACAGGAAATGAGAGATTCTGCCGCCTTTTCTCGTTTGCAATTTTGTTTTTATAAATCCGATTTTTTTTTATACCTACACTTTAAAAAATTACAAATTTTTGCCACCCTGAGCCGCGGCTCATGTGGCCACCCCCTTAATCCGGCCCTGTCACTGTGTCTATCAATTTCAAAACTTAGCCCGCAAGACATTGTACCGCACCGACAGACCAACTGAGTCGTGACATCAGCGTGTCGTTGCGAGCATTGCACTACTCTGCCGTACTAGGGAAGAACGCCACGTTGAATCATAATCCTGTTTTCTGCTGGATAATCTTTTTTTCGGCGGGTTAATTTCCTCTCTCCTTTTTGGGAACCCCACTGAATTGTTATTTCTTATGACGATACTTCGAATGCAGCATTTTCCTTTTAGAGCAAACGGCCTCTGCATAAGCGGGTAATTTTGTGATTCATTCAATTGCTCCACTGAAAAACTTTGCGCAAAACCGAGTGATGCCACTGATCACGGCTAAAATCAACACCCAGGGTGATGCAAACATATATACTACCGTTCTAAGGAAATACGCCGTATGAGCACTCGACAGTTGCCAAATTTCCTTCGATAAAATGTTTATTTTCGAGGAGAGTTACGAATAATTTCCCTTGGAATTTCCAGATAGTTTGAATCTAATAGCGAATCAAATTCTCCGAAAAGTTGGAGGAAAAATGTTTGCGGATCTCCCTGAAAATTCGAACTTTAACAAAGGCAATTTTGCAACGTCTAATGGCTCGAACGGCGTTCTTCCTTAGCACAGCAGTATTGCACTGCTTCACGAACTAGAGTGACCACAGCTCCTTCAATTTTTAAAATGCAACACGGATGTTCACGATTGAATAGTTGCATCAAGGCGTTATTACCGATATCATTGTTATGGATTGCAATACTGAGGCGTTAGGTAAACACGTCGCATGAGCACTCAATCGTTGCTAAATTTGCTCCGATTAAATACGGAGTTCTGGAAAAACTTGTGAACTTTTATTGGTTAAAGTTTTTGAGGATTTTCTGAGCGATTTAATCTAGATTCTGATAATTTCAAGAAGATGCAAATACACACCTAACTTTCTTCAAAAATTATGTTTATATTCAGAAGAAATTTGGCATCGTCTGCATCTTCGTAAGCCGTTTTTCCACCATACAAACATGCTGTGACGTTAATCAAGCGCGTGGCTAGGGTGGCCTGACTGGGACCCGCAGATAAACTTTGCAGCGCTAGATCATGCCTAATTGCCAGATCGTATAGTGAAGTTTTATGTTCCAAACATTAACACTTCGCACTATTCTGCCGTGCTAGGCAAAAACGTCATATGAACCTTCAGGTGTTGCCAAATTTCCCTCGATAAAACTTGAATTTCTTGGTAAAAACATGACTATTTTTCTTCCAATTTTTCAGATAGTGTTGTACGCAATTTTACCTACAGTTCCTGAAAATTTCTAGGAAAATTATTCATACGTCACCTCAAAAATAAACATTTTATCGTGGGAATTCTGGCAACTCTTGAATGTTTATGCGGCGATGTAGCAGGGCAGTATTGGAGGCGACATTTAATACTATGAGAATTTGTTACATTTTCCACCCGAAAATTGACATTTTTTTCACTTCTTCTATATTTCCCAAAGTGAAAATAATTATTTCAAATTCAATTTGCGGTTGCGCTCACCTGGAATAAGTGCGAGTTTTCAAATTTTCGCGGGGCTTATTTTCCCAATTATTCCTCTATTCGGACAAAGGGAATCTTAACCGCAAATTCTGAACCAGACGCTTTGATTGGTCTAGAGCGGTTCATTCCATTTATTCCGGGTTGAACCAAAAGAGCGGGAATTTCAAATATTTCCGGATATCCTGTTTACCGAATCGTTTCCGTTTCTGGTAAACCAGTGTTGTCAGCTTTACGAACATTCCTCGGATAAAACTGACAACACTGTTTACCGGAAACGGAAACGATTCGGTAAACGGGATATCCGGAATTATTTAAAATTCCCGCTGATTTTGGTTCAACTCGGAATAAATGGAATGAACCGCTCTAGACCTAGACCAATTAAAGCGTCTGGTTCAGAATTTGCGGTTAAGATTCCTTTTGTTCGAATAGTGGAATAATTGGCATAATCTCCCTCCATAAACATAAGAACTAACCTCACTTTTCAGGAATTTGTTTAATGTTTACATTTTTTTGTGGCTTCCCTTGCTTCTTTAGTTCTTTCAGCCTTCAGCGGCTCCTTACTAGTTCAGCGTGTTAAAATGCTTTAAAATTTCTGTTTCAATGGCTCAGGTTTAAGTTAGTCTCTCACATTATTTTAAGAATACTCATGCAACGGTTCCTACGATTCTATCATAATGCTCACTTGCTTTTCGGTGTACTAGTTGAAAATTAATCTTCAGCTTCTAAAGGAGAATTACACACTGTTAAAATATAACAGGTAATATTCTGAACTATTTGCCGAATAGATTATCTTTTTATGAACCCATTTTTTAACCCCTAACTTATCTATGTCTGATATATCCACTTCTATAGAAGTTTTGAAGGTTCAGTAGCAACAGAGGTATCTCAGATACTCATATGCCGGAAAACGCTTATCTCAGTGTGCCCCTTTAATATTTGTGCCATTTTTACTGATTGTGACATGTATGCATTTATGCCTAAGAGTTCAACACCAAGGGATACCATTTCCAGTGGCATTTTCATTTGATAAGTCAGAGGTGTCATCTGCTGAGATAGTAGTAGTTTACTCTTTGCTTGCAAGTGACTGCGTCGCAGTCACCCAATAGCGATTGAGGATTGACTGCGAGCAACGCTGCCACTGTGCGTAGAGATGTTTGTAGGTCTACTGTTGTAAGTGAACAACTGCCAACTTAACTGATGACACGTCTAAATGTTGTTTACTTTCAACTATCATGCCCACAAACCAATTAACATATCTGTACATGGTATCTGTCTGTCTTATCGCTGGTGATCAATCCTCACTTGCTACAGACAATGGCAGCGCAGTCGCTTGCAGACGGAAGGGGCACATATGTTGACTATTCTAAAGTAACCTTTATGTGAGGATTTATTTTTTCACCTTGTCTATTTACCCAACAATCTGGTAGAGGTACAATTGACATTTACTGAATTGAAATTGCATTGATAAAGTCAAAAATTCAAGCAACTTAAAGTTTTATGTCAGAGGAGAAAAAATTTTCACCAATTATGAGTTAGATTATTTGTTAGTGCCACTTAAACGTAGAAAACTTAAGGAATTGAAGTCAAGATTAGTCTGTGATACTAGCATTGAGTCAATCTCAAGTATTAACCAAGTTTAGTCGGGAAAGAATCCCTTCTTTCTCCTATTTTGATTTTTCTTTTTTATTCAAATAATGCTTCAGATTCACATGTGGGACAATTTTCTTTTCTGTTACCCAGACTCAAAGTTCGCCCAGGTAATTAAGCTGATCAACGGGCCATATCAAACGCCAAACTTTGACCAGACTCAGGACCGATATTTTAAAGCTAATATAGATTTTTCCGTCAAAATTTCTTCTACCTAAACAGAAAAAATTGATTTTTCAGATCTGTCATCATGGTTATTAAGAAAATTTGCTGCATTGGTGCAGGGTATGTTGGCGGCCCGACATGCAGCGTGATCGCCTTGAAATGTCCGGATATTGAGGTTACGGTCGTGGACAAAAGTTCTGAAAGAATCCAGCAGTGGAATTCAAATAAATTACCAATATATGAGGTAAGAAGTATGAAAATTTATGACTGTTTCTTCATGAAAATGAGCTTGTACAAGATGGAGAAATTGAATTTTCGAATTTAGGAGAGGTTTTTGAGGCATTAAGTAATTTAATCAGCAGATCCCTTTAAAAATTTTGTGAGATACACAACAGTACTATTGATCTTCTCTAAAATCAATTCTCAAGTTAGGAATAGGTTGAGGCTGCATTTACGGAGTACAACGGAGTCCACCTCTACAGCCGTTACTCTCGTCTCGTTGAAACAATACTTAATACATTAGCAGGACTGCAATATCTGTCAAATAAAAATTACAAACAAATTTAGTGAAAGTCCAATGAAATTTTTATCATTTTTGCTCAAATTCCACTGCTGAGCTTTGAAACATCAAAAAAAATGTTCAACCTTAAAAATAATGGCTTTTAGTAATTGAATGGAAATGGTATCATCATTTCAATTCCAGCCAAAAATGTCATCCTTTTTGCCTGATTTAGCAGAATTATTTCTTTTTTAAATGGTTCTAATCTGATTTTAAGTGTGTCCCGGATAAGTGTGACTCTGGTATTAACTGAAGTTCAGAACAAAATCTTTAAGACTGGACGTATGATCCTAATTTTTTTCTCTTTTCTTTTGTATATTATTTTTGTTAAAATAATGTATTTACCATTACAGCCAGGCCTGTATGAAGTAGTCCTGAAGTGCCGAGACAAAAATCTGTTTTTCTCGACAAACATTAACAAAGCTATCACAGAGGCAGATCTCATCTTCATCTCGGTGAATACCCCAACAAAACTTAATGGAAATGGGAAAGTGAGTTATATTTTTTTATTCCTTTCATATGGATCAAATTTAGCAGAAAGCGGTCATCTTGTTTTATAATTAATGGTTGCCTATCTGCCTGACTTAGTCCATTGTTTTTCTACTTAAACTTTAATTAAAAATTCAACCCCTTCAACTTGTTAATTTAATTACCTTTATAGGTATTTAATTTTCCTTCTGAAGAAATTAAAGTCAACTAAGTATAAACACAGTAATGATAGTAATAATATAACATTTAAGAGAAATAGGACACAATTTTGACATCTGTGCAGGGTTGCCATCTGAGAAATAGGGATTCGTTGGGAGGGAAGACCACTTGTGAAAAGACGGGGAATTATGGTTCTGGTTAGAGTTTATCCAGGACCCAGGGGAAAGTCCGAGAATGGGAAAAAAATTTGGCTAACAACCCTGTCTGTTACAGGACAAAATAATTAAATCTTGAATTTTTCAGAGAGTATTCATTTAGAATCGTTTTCAATGCCAAATAGAATTAATTTCCTTTTTATTCTTAAAAGTAGATTTTAACTTATTTTGATCCTCTCTAAAGGGACAGACAATTTTCTCAAGTTTTCTAAAGGAATGTGTTGTTTACCTCTTCCAGGGTCGAGCTGCAGATCTTAAGTACGTGGAGGGTGCTGCGCGTATGATTGCAGACATAGCACAATCAAACAAAATTGTTGTAGAGAAAAGCACAGTGCCCGTAAAAGCAGCAGAAAGCATTTTAAGGATACTTAGGGCAAACCACAAAAAAGGTGTCAAATTCCAGGTGAGGTTCATTGCAGTTTGGAGTTCTTTCAAGGATAAGTTCAGTGTAACACCACAGAAACGCACCAAGTTGAATTCTAGAAAAAAAAGAGTCGAGAGTACTTTTAAATCCGGTTTGTTGTAAATTACCTTCTTTCAAAAGTTCAAAAAATACTTGTTGAACTTTATTCATAACATTGAGTCTTATGAAGGAAAAAACTTCAAACCTCTCTTTCTTGGTTCAAACTTGATTCCAATGGAGATGTTGCATGTGTGAGGAATTTGCGATTTGACTGTTAATTCTTACGTACAAGTTTGCAAGAAACACGATGGTGCCTCTCGTTTTCTCTGAAATCAACTCCCAAGCTCAAAAAAAGCTCTCAAGTTGAGGCCAAAATGGAGGGGATATCCCACGCTATCCTGAGAGCCCTCCTCTACATCAAGACGAACCCTTAATGCAAAAGACAGGGAGCAAACATTAGCAGGAATGCCATATTTTCTCTTAGTCTTAGAGTCCCCAAATAAAGTGGCAGCCCTGTCAATGTATTTGCTCCCCATCTTTGCATGGAGAGTTTGTTTTGATGTAGAGGTGGACTCTTAGGATAGCGTGGGATATCCCTCCATTTTGGCCTCAACTTGAGAGCTTTTTTTGAGCTAGTGAGTTAATTTCAGAGAAAACCAGTGGCTCCATCGTGTTTCTCACGAACTTTTACGCAAGAATCAGCAGTCAAATCGCAAATTCCTCACATATGCAACATCTCCATAGGTATGTTTCTGTCAAACTGGATCAATGTATCAGGAGAGGCGAAGGTCTCTATAAATCCAGGGACTTTTTAAATGATGAGAGTACCCATTTGCTCTCTGACTGTGCTTCCTCTTCTGCTATGTTTGTATTGCTTGTGCAACAACAAGAATCTTAAAGTGTGATCCTCAGCTAGAACAACTTTTAAAATATCATGGTCTCCAGAAATTATCAATCAAGTTATGAATGACTCATCACTACAAGGTCACAAATCAACAAAATTTACTCCGCTCTTTTTTTTGTCCAAGATGGCATGTTAAAAAAATTGTATTCACCGCCAGGAAATTTAAAAATCGTAGCTACCTATCGATGTCATGTAATGGAGAGTTCATTTATTTGTTCTTGTCTCTCACTCAGAGTAACACAACTTTCATAAAACATATTCTCATCAATTTTTTGATTGTGTTATGATTATATGTGAATTGTTTTATCCTTGTCAGATCTTATCAAACCCGGAGTTTTTATCGGAAGGCACAGCAATTGATAATCTTATCAATGCTGATAGAGTGTTGATTGGTGGTGAGGAATCTGAAGGAGGTCAACAAGCAATTAAAGAGCTTTCCTGGGTCTACGAGCACTGGATTCCAGCAGAAAAAATCATCACCACCAACACATGGTCATCAGAACTATCCAAATTGGTATTTATTCATGTCTCTATTTTTGACTAGAGTACATATAGTACATAGGGAGAGTATGGACAACTCGAATTATGTAGCTTTTAGGGCTCAAAAGGGTAGGTAATCTTTTAAAACGAAAAATGTCACTGTCAATCTTTAGACTCTAATATCAAACGAAAATGGACAAGATAATTCATAAGTAAGTATTCTTCCGCAAAAATGAGTAAGTTTATGCAAAAGCCAAGTCAAATACGTGCTTTACCAACGACAGTTCCCAACGATTGTGATTATAAATCACTCTGGATAATTTGAATTCATAAATTGCCTACCCTTTTGGGGTCTAAGAGCTCCATCACCTAACCTCAAAATTTTCGACAGGTCCATTTTTTAACCATCCCAGGGGGAAAAAAAGACACCTTTTTGCTACTTTATTGGCACCACTGCTTAGAGCAGTGTTTCAACTAGGGTAAAACTGTATAGACCATCTGCAAGATAAATTTTTAGAAGCCAAAATTGAAAAATGCAAGCATTTTTATATTATTCTAACTCTTAGAAAAATAATTTTAAAAAAATCATTCAAATCAGCCCCATCGTGTTCATCTTCCATAAAGCCTTGTCAGCTTAATTAGACCAAAAATGTATCTAATAATGTATTCACTGTTTTCAGAAGACGAACTTAAATTTTAACATTGTTTGAATTTTTCCATTAAATGAGCTTCGGTTTTTTCAGGCTGCCAACGCTTTTCTTGCATCAAGAATATCCAATATCAATTCTTTGTCAGCTGTGTGTGAGGCTACTGGTGCTGATATTTCCGAAGTAGCCAATGCGGTCGGCAAAGATTCTAGAATAGGGTCAAAGTTCCTGCAAGCTTCCATCGGCAAGTATCGTTTTTTATCGTAAATGTTTTTTTTCTCATTAATTTCAAGCTATTGCATTGCATTTTGACGGTGTTAGTCGGCAATCACATAACTCGATTTGCGACGTCGCATACTTCCTGACATACTTAATTTTTTAGACCGAAAACTATTCAACAGCAATTCTTTAAAACTGCCTTGACTTTTCTTCTCTGTGTAAAAAAACCTGCAAAAACTTCAAGGAATGATGTCAATTTGTTCTCCTTTAAAAAAATAACATGGAGGCGGACACCGCAAATGAGTTATGTGATTGCCGACTTACACCGTTGATATATGGGTTCTTGTCTTCACATGAAACTACCAGGGGCCAAATTTTGTTGGTCCTCTCTCTGTACTTAAATATACTTAGGACCAGTTTTGCCCGTACCTAGGTCCGGCTTGATGCTTCTGATTGGCCGGTGGTCCGGTTCGGACTCATCAATGAATGTTGCGTCTCCATGTGAAAGAGCGGACAAAGGATGCAAAAAATTCTTAGCTCTCATGTTTTGAACTGGCTTTCCCATTTCAAAAGCCCTTTTTCCTCCAAAATTTCAGAGTGATGTTCTTTTTTTTCACCCTAAGGAAGATCTGCTGCAATTCTATGAAAATCAAACGATTTCCTTTTTCAGGAAATTAAGGAGAAAACTAGGGAAAGGTAAAAAGTAAGGATTTAAAATGATAAGAAACCAGTAGACACCTTGGTTTCAGTTTTTCTATAATAATTTGCTTGTTTGTTGCCCCATTAGGTTTTGGAGGAAGCTGCTTTCAAAAAGACATTTTGAATCTAGTGTACATTTGTGAATGTTTGAATCTTCCCGAAGTTGCATCATATTGGCAACAGGTTGGTGTCAATCTTCTATTCAACCACCTTAAAAAAGAAAAGGAGAAAAAAACTTGGGGCTGAATTCTTTTAGTTGAATGATATTGTACTTAAAAATGATTAGTATGAGTCCGGACTAATCTTAATTCGGAGGGTGCTCCATGATTGGCTGCCTAAATTTTAAGAACCGTTCTCAGTTTACAATTTTTTCATTTTCAGCCAGGTCATCTCAAAGTATAAAATGACGGAAGAAAAAAATATTAAGAAGTTCAGGTTTTAAGAAGTACAATCTAAGATATATTGGTCGTACAATATGTCAGTGACACCTGTTTTTTTAGTTCCTTTTCTCAAAGCACTGAATGAGTTTAGCTCCACGTATTTTTTTTCAGATTCATTGACTTGAAGTGGAAGAGAATAATCAATTTTTGGGGTCGCCAAAATCTGGACCCATTTGAAACGATATTTTTAGCAGTATGTTATGATGTAGGTAGGTGAGGAAGTTCCCATTTGCTGACTGGCTGAGTCCCTGTCAAAAACAGTGACTAGTGACGTTATCAAGACTGTCGCCTTCTAGTTGATCAGATTTTAATAAGCTTTTTAACCCTGCAGGGGCATTTTCATTAAAACTTTTTGATGGACTTTTTGGCTTTATCATGAAATTTTATGTTGGAAAAACAACCATCACATACTCTTCCAAATATTTCAAGTTGACAATACGTCCAAATATTTCAAGTCAAAGTTTCTCGCAAATGAAGGTTTGCAATAAAAAAAAATAAAAAAAAAAAATATATATATTCTCATCAAAACACCTCAAAAACTTTTCTTCTGAGGCATATCTGTGCTTCATAAAAATGTTGTTCTTGTTGCAGGTCATTGATTTAAACGAATATCAGAAGACAAGATTTACCAAAAAAATTGTAGAATTATTATTCAATACCGTAAGTGATAAGAAATTAGCAATTTTAGGCTTTGCATTTAAAAAGGACACTGGAGACACCAGGGAATCGCCGGCCATTTACGTTGCCAAAACTCTTCTGGATGAAGGTGCTAAGCTGCACATCTATGATCCCAAAGTAAGAAAAACCACTGCTGTTCAATTTTATTTCAAAGATGAAGTCAGTTTTGTATTTGTTCAACTCTAATGTCAAAGTCAAAAGTAATCAATGATTAGTCCTGTAAATACTTGTAATGCAAAAGCATAGTAGATGTCTTTGTCTGGCAGCTTAAAATTTAAATTTCCTTCATTATACCTTCAAAGTGTGTGAGAAAAATCAATTGAAGCATAAGTCTTTATTATGATGTTAAAATTGCTGTTCCTACCGCATATTTTGAAGGGGGTACTACTGAACATTTTTTCACAATATGTCAGAGAATATCAATAAACCTAAACAATCAAAAAAGGTTCTGTGACTAGCACGTCTGATGCACAGAGTATGGAACTTCAAGTAGAATTATTGTCTACAGGATTTTTATCCCCAGCTCTTTATGTGCTATTAGCGGAAAAATTCCCAAGCAATTGCAGAAAATTCATAAATTCATTGAATTTTCTGCATTGCTCCTCGTCAGTGGCCTTGTTTTTTTATTATGTGAACCTCACCTATTATCCATTCTTCAAAACACTGACATTCAAAGAAGACCTCAATTCAGGGTCTATTTTATATCACTCAACTCAATCTTGAATGCTTTCAGGTAGAGGCGACACAAATATTGGACGATCTGACCCACCCGTCTTTCACACCTGATCCTGAAGGAGTCCGCAAAGCCATAGAAATCTACGATGATCCTTACCAAGCAACGGCTGGCACTCATGCCGTTGTCATATGTACTGAATGGGACGAGTTCATCGTGAGTTGTCCTCTATCCAACTTTTATCATTTTTTGCAAGCCTCAAATGGGGCCTAAATTCATCGGATGCCTTGTATAATTTGCAAAAGGCGAAAACTGATTTATGAAGTTGTTAATGAAATTTTTAATCGGCTTATTCTGCAGATTTTAAAGTTATTCATACAAGACTCTACACTGAGTCATGTAACTACAGCACTTGTTAGTTTAGGGATCAAACCATGCTAGTTTGAGGGATGCCCAGTATCGAGTAGTAAAACTTATGCAATCAGCAGTTTATGAAAGTCGATTACAAGGTGCAAAAAACAAAACCCATGAATTCATCTCTTTTATGTACTTGTTGGTGGTCTCTTTTATTTTATGTATTTTATATTCAAAATAAAATTTTTAGTCGAGAAAAAATATTTTTCATGTAAAGATACAAATTACCTTGGATGAATTTTTTCATTTCAAGTAGCATATATGTGAATTAAACTTCTATTTCTTTCTCCTAGTTCCACTGTATCGCGAGGAAATTCATTTATTTTGAGCTCCGAATACTTTTCTCTCAGTTTTGGTGTACGTTAGGTTGGTTCCTTTCTTTTGAACTTTGTACTATTAAAGAGAGAATTTTGAAAATATGCTACTGAATATTTACAAAACGAATTGAACCACATAACCACTGACAAAATCTACCAGACATGATATGAAGAAGCTGTAATACGGCTATTGAGGTAGCTGTTTTTTTTTGTTTTTCTTGATGTTTTTGAAATTCAAAAACAGGTAACTACAGGGTGTCTACTGTAGAAAAAGTACAGATATACCGAAAAAGCCTGGCTTTCGGAAGGTTATTTTAGAAGTACAGAAAAAGTACGGATTTTCTGATAAAACTTAAAAAGTTAAAAGGTACGGAAATTTAAGATTTTCGTGATAAACTCTAAAAAGTAGCCTTCGGAGTGTGCGATTTCCATTTAAGTTCCCAGTTTGACTCCTCATGTTTTTCGGTTTATTCCTTTGTCATTCCATCATTCCTCTTTCCCAATCCGAATACAGTTAAAAATGTGTGTAAGGTGAGAAGAAAGTAAGTTATAAGCAAGGATGTTTAAGAATCGCCAAAAAAATGAATTTTAGGGAGAGTAAGGAAAAAGCAAGGGAAAGGTACTGAATAAGTAAGGAATTTCAATGTCAGGGTACTAAAAGACACCCTGTAACTAACCAGGCACTCTCAACAGGCTTCATGATAGACCTTCGGTCAGATTTTAAAAATATTCCTACCATTAAATCTCACGGAGTCACCAAGTTGATAATCACGACATCTCGTACAAATGGCCCCAATTTTCACCCATTCACGTAGTGTTTAGACAGTCCACTATAAATATATTTGCATCCAGTGTGTGATGCATTGTATGACCTGCATTTTTCACAATTTTTTTCTATCGTTTTATTTACTGTTTTATTCACCAACTCCTCCCAGTCTTCTTTATCTGTTTATTTACTCATATAATTTTTTATCTCATTTTTCGTTGCTTTTATTTCAGGGCCTGGATTACGAAGAAATTTACAGCAATATGATGAAACCAGCTTTCATATTTGATGGGCGAAAAATCCTCAACCATGATAAGTTGGCGAACATAGGATTTTTTGTCCATACAGTCGGGAAACAAACAGTTTACAAGGCTGTCAATGGATTCTGAGGTCCATAATCATTGTGATAACTGATAATCTTCTGGTTTGAGTTTTTTTTCTCATTATTTTAAGAATTTCTTCCTGTATTGAAGATATAATCTAGATTTTTTTAACTTCAGTAATTATACACATCTCATGGAAGTTGCTTGGAATTTTCTGGGAGTTCAACTTTAAAATGAGGTTGCCATCCTATAAAAATTCAGAAAATCATTGCATGATGTTTTCATTTTTCAAGTTCAAGTTAACTTGATAGTAAGGAAGCCTGTCTATTTATGTTCTAATCTACGAATTAATTCATTTCCTCTTTTAGTTTTCAAATTTTACACGCTGTTTACCCCTTTTTTCTTCTTTTAAAATACACCTCTTATTATTGAGTCCCACATCGTTTCAGATTTTCAGTTGATTCTCCGCATTCTCTGCAAGAATTCATATCTTCCTCTAAAAGTTAAAACCGGGTTTATCATTGTTACAATACCTGAAGAGACTATTTTTATGTTTCAATTCTACTTGACTAGGACTTAACCCTTATTTTGTAAATAAAATATTAACTTCAATCATTGTAAAACTGATTTTAACTGAGTTCCTTTAGAATTATTGTTGAGCCATCTGCAGATTTTTGGAATATGTGCAATCATATTATGAGGTTTCCATTTTTTCCAATTTTTACTCTCCACACTCTGTGTATTTTGTTCAAAAAGAACTGTATAGACCATTAAAATATTAGGTATCGCAGTTTAAATAATGTGAATGAATTATTAAGTAGAACAACCTAATTTTATTTAAATCAAAAATGATTTTTTCATTGAAGAGAAATTTATGTAATCTTATCATATTGTTTTACTGAATACTTTACCACCTATTATATTTGAATTACGCAAATTTTACGAAACAGTGATCTTTGCGTAACATGTGTCCATCTTTCAAATGTTTACTATTATCCACGGAGAAAAAGCACAATAACCCAAAAATTATTGTAAAATCATCGTTCCGAATTATTATCTTATGTGTTCTCAAGAATGCCGTCCTGTTTCTTCAACGGTTTGCTTTAAAAAATTTATGATTATGAATCCTGATAAATTTGTGGTCTGTGTATGAATAATTTTCTGGTTTCTCTCAGAACAGTAAATTAGGAATCACTGCGCTTTCTCGGAACACAAAAGTACTTTCATGTTAATTATTGACAGCATTACTGTCTTTAAACGCCATTGCTTTGTTGTAAATATTTTTAAAAAATTGTTAATTAATTTCAAGTGCAATTTAAGACTGCTCCAAGCAGTCCATTATTATTGTTAAGATAAATTTACTGTAGTATTTAATTTTCTATACTAAGCGTCAGGTCACCTTAACTTCAATGCTATCATTCTATGAAGGTCACTTTTTACTTTATTGTAGCTGAATTTCAGATCTTTCTGTTATAAGGTATCTAACTAATTTTTTTATTATTTGTGGCGTTATTAATAACAGAACACAGTACTATCCCTCATAGCATTGATAGTTCGTCACCTTCCAGGCAAAGTATCACAAGCGCCATGCGACGTTTAAAAATTCCCGCCGCCATTTTATTTCTTTACTGAGAAATTGTTGGTTGAATCTGTTTGGGAATTTCACTAAATTTTATCGACAGCACAAAGAAAATTCAGTGAAATTTTCGGACAGCTTCGTTGAACAATTTCTCTGTAAAAAAATAAAATGGCGGCGGAAATTTTTAAACGTCGCATGGCGCTTGTGATACTTTGCCTGGAAGGTGACGAGTTACAGTTAGTTTTCCAAAAAATGTCAAAAAATTTTTAAAATGTACAAGTTAGAAAACTCTTTTTGCTCTTTTTCAGTAAAATTTATGTAAAATTTACTGCAAGAAAAAAAGTATTGGAAAAATTAGCATGAAATGTTTAATTTTAAAAAACCACTCATATCGACGCCTAACTGAATACAAGCTGCGAAATATACAAAATGAAAAACTTATCTTTTAAGTGAATTTTCTGTAAAATAGTTGTTTAGTGTAAAGTTGCATTTTTACTAACAGAGGAGCAAAAAAGGTTTCCTGACTCTGACATTTTAGTTTTCTTTTTAAAATTTAAGAGTTTTTTAACATTTTATAAAGAAAAACAGCCTATGCAACTAGAGAGTTTGCCAACAGCTATGGGGTTGCCTTATTTTTAATTGAGCAGAAGTTCAAAGAAAATAAATCGTACACTAAATCCAGGTCCATAATTTTAAGATTTCTGTAGAATTTCTTCATCAATCCGCAATACGTAGCACCACAGTTATGCAAAGAAGAGCCTTTTTTGCAGTTAACTAATAAACTGCTACGAATTAAACTGACTTCAGCCATAGTCTCAGCTGCAGTCTAGACTTTGATCATTTACTTAGAGAGAATTAAGTATGCTTGCTAGAATTTCGATGTATGCAGGAAACCGTCTTGTTTTCTCAGGGTAAATGATTCAATTTAAAAAAAAATAAATCTGAAAATCCACTTAAAGTGGCAGACCATCTTAATAAGTAAAAAAGAGATACAGTGCAGTGGCTTCTGTGTGTTTGTGTTACAAAAAATCCTCGCTAAGTTTCGTTGCTTTTAGAATGCAATATAAGATCTGCCATCCAGAATTTTTTTTTTACTTTTGATGCCTGATTTACGACAGCTGATCTTAGGTTGCATTCAAAAATTGTGTGAATTATTTGTTCAGGCTAATTTAACTGATACTCATTTGTCACAGATTTTTAGCTTTTTACAGTGTAAGGTTTTTGTTTATTTATTTATTTTTTTTCGTCTCCTGGTTTTTTTTCTTTTTTTTTTGCCAACCAAACCCATCATCAGTATTATTAGATGAATATCCCACCAATTTTCATACAAGAGAATGATACTTCTCTTTGTAAATGTTCTACTGTTGCACCTTAAAATCACTTAGTAGCACGAAATTCAGTGCTCTCCTAGCTGTGCACAGGCACTAGCTTCAAAATGTTCTTGTGCCTGCTCAGTTCAATTCAGTGTAATTGACCCAATTACGTTTATGCTTTGCAATCAAGTCAAAGATTTCTTTTTGGTGCTAGATTTGTGCTCAGGTATCATCCTGTTTCTGAATCAAACTTTGTTTTTTGGCCTGAAAATATTAAGTACCGCCCGAGAGACATTTTTAGCATGTATTCATTGGATATGATGAATTTTGTGGTGCAAAGTGGGAGGATTTAACAGGGATTGGGATCAGTCTAACTGTATTTCACAGTGCCTAATTTTTTCTCATGTTTTTTTCTCTTATCGAGAATTTGACCATTTAATGCCTTTAAAATTTCCAAGAATTTATCGTAAATTATGTACTCACAAAATTTCAAGTTCCTGCGTCGCTTTGTTTATTGTTTTAAAAATAAAATATCAGAAAAAATTACGCAATGTTTGATGTAGTTAGGCTGATTCCTGTTAAAATTTTGCAAATCATCCTTTGATACTTAAAGCAAAATCCCACAAAGAAACGCGGTGCTCTAAAGATTCACTATCCACTCGCTGTTTAATCAAAATCGCCGAAAATCGTTTTTTAGACTAAATTTTGTTACACCGGTTAATTTTGTTATTAAAAACATGTCCTTATTATTGTTGTCTCTTAATTTCAATTTCAATGCTGCGGCATGATTATTGAATCAATGTCTAGAAGGTGAGACATAGCGCTATCCAAACCATGCAATATTTTGTATTTCAATATCTTATTGCGCTGATATTAACTTTCAATGATTGGCCTGCTGGCTACCAAAACTTGATCATTTAATCTAGAGTCATTTCCTTTAGAATGCCCCTTCAGTCTAATCTCAATACAATGTGTATAAAAAGTGAAAATAAGGAAATATATTTTTGGCACCACAATCAATCAGACGGACTTAACCAGAATGAGCCTAACTTTCTTTCTTTATTACACAACAAAAAAAAAACCAAGCAACTCGCAGCTTGAAAGTGTCCTGAAAATTCACCCTGGATTATGAACAATATACACATCGACGGTGAAACTACCAAACCACGTATCTCGGTTTGCGACGTCGCAGACTTCCTGTCATACTTTATTTTTTAAATGAAAAACTACTTAACGTCCAGTCTTGAAAATTTCTGTGATTTTTCCTCTTCATGCGGAGAAAATTCTGTGAAAATTTCAAGGAATGATATTGATTTGGCTGACTTCAAAAAAATAAAATGTGAGCGCAGATTTTTAAACACTGTAAACGAGATACATGGTTTGGTAGTTTCACCGTCGACATAGCATTTCAAATTAGAAATTTGTTCAGTTTCCTGACAAACAAACAAACATAAGAGATTTGTCATGCCAAGAAAAATTACCGTATGCACCTCATTGCCAAATCTTCTCCCATTAAAATCTAATTTTCTTGTGAATTAGGTAATGCATATTTTTCTTTAATTTTTCACATTAAGTTCACTTTATTACGTTTTATTCACTTATTATTTTATTCACTTTATTATTTTATTCACTTTATTAGTTCACTTTTTAATCTCAAGTATCAGAAAATGTCAAAGAAAAATATTCACTACTTTCTTTGACAAAATATCAATGATAAGGCAATGTTTGATAAAATTAGGCTGATTCTGGTTAGATCAGTCCAATTCATGTACTTATAGCTTTCATATTGCTACACTATTTATGTAAACACAAACCTTGTAAAGTCTCTGTAATGTTTTACACAAGAACATTGTTTTAAAAAAAGAAGAAAAAGATAATAATATATTTTCAATGCAAAATTTAATTTGTGTGTGTGTATTCTTTTTTCAGAGCGATCTCCTACATTTAACAGAAAAACTAAAGACAACCTACATTTATTTCCAATCCAAAAACCTGGGAAAGTATTTATTTACATCATTGCTCACTGGTGGTTTTGAAAGTTAGATTTTCAGATGAGAAATTTGGAAGCCTCTATCTGAAAGCAGGAACACAGCATGACATCATAGAACTAGAACCCTGGTAAAAAGAAATCATTCACTGAGCTGATTTTTGTTCTTTTCTTAAAAAGAGAAGCGTTTTATCCCTTCATTTTGCATTAAAAAAATTAACCATGATAGGTAATAATAGCAGGCTCAGTTATGAAGTATTCAATCATCTTGTATCCGTAAATTAACTGCGTTTTGTAAGTGAAACTACAAAAACGTGTACATCAAATGTGGTGTTTCAAAATCTCTGATTTTTACTTTATTTGTGCAAAAGAGGCTGAAAGCAACTTTATGGCTCCAAGTTTTCACAGAATTCTTTCACACCGAATTATAGTCACCGAAGTTTTCAGGAGTTTACTGAGGAAATAAAGTATGACAGGAAGTCTGCAAAGCCGCAAAATGAGATACACATTTTGGAAGTTGCACTGTCGATATACACTAATACATCAAATACGGGGGCCTCAAAGTTCCAATTTAAATACTTTAAAAACCATCAATGAGGTATGAGCGTTTCATTAAACAATCTCATTATTTCAGCCAAGCCAATTTTTGCTCTTTTAATCTTGGGTAGTAATAAAAAAAACTTAAGTTTCTTGAAAGTGTAACACTCAAGTTTACTTATAATAACAGTTACATAATAAAATTTCAAAAATGATAAATTATTTACAAAATTTGTACATAAAGTTTCAAGTTTCATTTTGAGAAACTATTCAAGTAAAAATATTCTTACTTTCTCAAATTTTCCGGCGACAAATTTGTGTACACATACTTTGTAAGTAACGGGCTGATCATCTTGCAAATTATAAAGCTTCAGAAACCCTTTTAAAAATATACATAACATATTTTGAGAGTGATGATTATGAACAATTGAAAAAAAGTATTTGGATTCATCTTTTAAAATGCTTGATGAAAGTTCATGAGGCCTTTTTTCCAACTTTTCCGCTGCTTGTCTTAAATCAAAAGGACACAAATATCTTGGAAGTCAAAGAGAAAGTATTATTGTGGTTATAGTACGTTGATCATGTACATGAACAGAAGAATATTACTATTATTGCATGGTGTCACTCCGCTGTCACAGTAATGATTGCCAAACTTCATCAAACAAATTATTTTTCTACCTACTTGTCACACAGATTTTTATGAAAAATCAGGGTATTTTTGTCATGCCACCAAAGAAATTTTCAAAAGAATCTGCACAACTGTTCTCCGGAAGAAAAAAATCATTAGATGAAATTTGGTAATTTTGATGGAAGTAACTTGGTTCCTTTCTGCCTAATACGGTCCAATTATAACTGTATAACTAAATTACAAAAATTAATGGAGGACAGATTTTAGAAGAGAGTAGAGCCAAAAGCTGAGCTTTATAAGTATAAAATCAGACCAGTTAAAACATGTTTCGACATCGGATATTCTCCCCAAGTCACTGCGATGCTGTTCTAACACTAAAATACATTTTCACTGGAACACATAAGCACAGAAATCTATTGAAAAATCAAGTATAACTTTATTCCAGCCTGAGCTTCATCCATTTTGAAAGATCTGTGATATCAATAAAATTTTCATCCGGGATCCCACTTAGGTCCATAAGAGAGTTTAAGTTTTGTGCAGCTTGAGTTATCAGAGGACCGTCAAAAGAGGCGTCGTTAATCCTTGTGTAGATTACTTCGTTCACATCCTTTTCTAGTTTGATTGAAGCTGTTTGCTTGAAGGTGCTTTTAAGTCTATTGTACACATTCTTTTTGATTTCACTTGCCCGGCAGACTAAATTTAGTAAGAACACTCCTTTTTCACTGAGGCAACTGATCACAGACTCTAAAACTTCTGGCTCGAGGAAACTTTGCGGAGGGCAGCTTAGACCCAAACTAGAATCTTTACAGTCGACATCGAATATTATGAAATCATATTTTTCACCACTTTGCACAGAGTCTTTTAAAAATACAAGTCCATCCTGAACTTCAATTCTGAGATTGTCATTCTTGGCCAGACCAAAATAGTTAGTAGCTATTTCAATAACAGCAGGATCAATATCAACAGCTGTTATATGAGCCTTTGGTAGTAAGGTCTGAATGTAAGAGCACAAAGCTCCGCCGCCAAGACCTAATACAAGAATTTTCACTGAAGTGGTATGAATTTTCTTCAGCTCATTCGAGGACTGCATGATACCCATTACGATTCCCAGTCCTAAGTAAATGTGGTATTCACAGCTGACATAAGTTTTATCGACAGAGCTGTTATCACTTTGATCACTTCCTTTTCTTAACCTTGCTTCAGATTGTATAACATTTGGACTCTTCAAAAAAATTAATCTTCTATAGGTGCAACCATCAGCTTCAACTTCTTCAACGAGTAAAGAGCCAGAAATTTCACTTTCGGCGCTGTAACATGTTTTTCTAGAGCCAAGATTGTTCCCAAGAGACAGAAACGGAAGTTTCATTTTCTTTTCCAGCATCCCGTAAGGTGCAACATTAGCAACGGTATCGTTTAATTCTTCTTGTACACCTTTCAAATCTGGATATTCATGACCGCGATGCATAGTAATGACAGCCAACCTATCTACTTTACAATTATCGAGAAGGACTTGGCGTCCTTCGGTGGAACTGAACAACCATTCACTTTCCCGTCCTTGAGGCACTATAAAAGCAGCAAAAGACATCTTTTCTGGTCCCCTAGACCCTGCTTTATCAATTATTGTAAATGTATATCGTGGAGAACTGTCTTCAGGTCGTGTTACATCAATACAGATTTCATCTTTAGGGTCCAGTACAACCCTGCTCAATTTTGAGCAAATTAAACCAGCCTCTTGTGTTGTTTTGACAGACTTGTATAACTCTTCAATTGATACTAACCGCCTCACAGAACTCTCATGCACACTGAACTCAAAAACGGGTTTCATATTCGGTAGTTTTTTAAATTTTGTGCAAATAATGACAAAAACCGGGAGGGCAGCTCCATTCGGTGAATTTTGCTGCGCTTCTTGACAGTGACAAACCCGAATGAGCCAGCCTTCCTCACTGAAATGTCCTGCTAGAAATTTCAAGATATGCTCCTGCAGTAAGCTAATGCAGATGTACCGCCCACCAACTTTTAGAACCCTGCCAACTTCGGAGAGAAATTTTGATATTCTAGAACGAGCTTCGATCGAGTCATCAGGCATCAAAGCATCGAGAGTTCCTTTATCTAAAACGACACTAAAATTATTGTCTGGATATGAGAGGTTTAACACATCCATCTTCTCGTAGATTAAACCAGGGCGAGACTTTCCAAATTTTTTGGTCATTTGCTCCACGACCACAGCACTAATATCTACGTTCCACAGATTCTTGAATCCAGCATCATACAGATCAGCACTTAACTTCGAGTTTCCACAACCAACATTTAATATGATATCTTGAGCTTTCATGTACTTGTGAAGTAATGTGCACAGTTCCACGTACTCTCCATACCATTCAAACACTTTCTCACCACGTTGTTTGAAGAATTTATTCCAGTATTCTGGCTGGGCAAAGTCAACTGTTGACCGCGGAAGCAATTCCATTTTCGAGCTATGACACTGACACTATCACTATTAAACTAGAAAGACCGGTCTCTGCATCTTTCGATTATGAAGAGACTGTAAACAAAAAGTCTGTACACCACACCACCTAACCTCACTAACCTCGTTGGTCAGGATTTGTTGATAAGGATGGCGTGACTCAGGTTATCAGTGAAATGCCACAGTGGTGCCATCCCACCGCAACATTTGCAGATCTTTTCTTCGTGATCGCATCAAGAGGAATATTTAAGAGGATTATGTTTGAACAACGTCTCAAAGCCTTAGATTTCAAACTCGAATAATAAATTAATTTGAAATGAAAGGTAGGTAACAAAACACTGAGGAGTACATAACCAGGGAGAGGGTTCTGAGGGATATCTCCCCCCCCCCCCCCCCCCCCCCTCCCCCATCCCTCCAACCCAAATGCTTATAGTGGTTTCCCATAAAATGATAACTTATTGAAAATTTTTGGCAAATTATCCTGATGAACTTTTAAAAATTCCCATTAATTTAGCAAGAAAATAATTTTTAGAGTGTGGTGTTGCTGCTCGGAGTGGTACTTAAAAGATTGAAGAAATGGAATGAATTAGAGTCCAATTTCAAGAAAGATGTATGGTACGTCGGTCTGGCACTTGTGGTATCTCTAAGGATGGTCGTGAAGCGTAACTCAAAACTTCATTGACAATCGAATTATAGCATTCTCTAAACGTTATTGATAAGTAAGAACCAAACCTTTCCACTATAACAAGGTAAGTATGCAAAAAAAATTACTTATTGCTGCATTATTGTAAGCAAATTTACTGAGCTGCGATTTCCTCTGTAATTTTTAGTCGCGTGAAATCCTCACAGCAAAATTCCTGTCCATCCAATCGAAGTTTACTTGGATCGGAATTCATGTATTTTTCGAAAAGATAGTTCACTCATAGTCCACGGTAAGTTGGCTGCCTATGCTGGCGTGAATGGTCGATTATCGATATTTCTCCATTTAAAGCTGTAGTAAAGAATCGATTATCAAGAATCGCTGCAAACACCTTGACAATCGATCCTTTTCCATTGATTTAAATGGCGGATCAATCGATATATCGCAAAGCACGCCACGCCACTGGCGCCGACATGCAATTTCTTATGAGTTAAGTGTCCCCCCCCCCCCCCCCC